CAAATGCAGGGAATCCAGGACAGATAAACCCCTCAGGACCAATAATGAGAGTAGAGATACCAGGAGAGTAAGGGGAAGGTGGGGGAGAAAGGGGAAACTAATCACAATGATCTATAAAAAAATGCCCTCCCTGGGAAATGGAGAACAGAAAAGTGGGTGAAGGGAGACATCCAACAGGGTAAGACATGAAAAAAATAATAATTTATAAATTATCAAGGGTTCATGAGGGAGGGAGGGTGGGGGTGGAATGAGATGATATCAAGGGCTCAAGTAGAAAGCAAATATTTTGAGAATGAGGATGGCAACAAATGTACAAATGAGCTTGACACAATGGATAGATGGTGATAAGAGTTGTACGAGCCTCCAATAAAATGATTTAAAAGAAGAAGAAATTGTTTTCTACCCCAACAATGCACTTGTTCCATCTCTGAGATTATCTACAAGAATTTTTTTGGGTAGGGAATTACTCCAGCCAGCCAGCAGCCATGATCTTGCTCCTTTACACATTTTTGCTCCTCAAACTCAAGTAGCATTAAAGGGAATATGAATTGAGTCCCTCAGGGATGCCAAAGCTGTTACTTGATGTTGTGTAAATCAAAGAGCAGAATTCTTTGAGAGATGGATACACCAAGCTTTCCAGATTGGTATAGATCTAGATGAAGTGTATGTTGAGAAACAATCGCTTCAGGCTTTGATAGTTTGATTAATAACGATTTTTCCTTTTGTATGCTGAGCACATAACCCTAGAAGCTGGGCTCTGTAAAGAAGAGCATGGTATCAGGATTGCCGTCAGGCTTAGTAACAATCTGACATGCAGAAGACAAACCTTGTTTCCTGAAATGAAGAGGAATTGAAGCACTTGCTGAAGAGTTTCAAGCATTGCGGCCTACAACTCAAAGAAAACCCCAAACCTCACAGCGGAACCAACAGAGGACACGATTAACAGAGAAAACACTGGAGTTGTCTAAGATGTCAATACTCACAGAAGCAGTGTTCGAGAAATCAAACAGTGCTTTGCATTGGGTCAGTCTGCTGCACAGACCTGAATGTCGCCTTGCAGACTAAGGTGTGCCTGCCCCGAGCCATGATACTTTTAATCGCCTCATAATGCATGTGGAAGTTGGACAATGAACAAGGAAGAATGAAGAATTGATGCATTTGAATTATAGTGCTGGTAAAGAATATTGAAAGTACCATGAACTGCCAGAAGAACAAACAAATCTGACTCGGAAGAATTGCCACTAAAATGGAATTCAGAATGGTGAGACTTTGTCTCCTGTCTTCTGTCCATGTTCGTAGAGACGAGCCCCTCTAGGACATGGTGCCGGTAAAGCAGACGGGCAGCAGGAAGACGGCCCTCAACAAGTCGGATTGGACAGTGGCCGTGACATTGGGCTCCTGCAGAGCAGTTGGGAGGATGATGAGTACAGGCTTGCTGTGACTCAAGCAACGTGACTGCTCCTAATACCGACAACGTGATTCTGTAACAAATACTGTTTACTTAACCTTGCATGTACTCTGAAAACTGGGGAAACGTGGGGTTGCTGTACATACTAGTTGAGATTTGTAATGAATTGCACTGTTTTTTATTCTATAAATATAAAATGACTGAAAGGGTTCTTTGCCCCCCAAATGGTATTACTGTAGTCCTGGCTCCCCAGAGATGAGAAGGCCTCTGTACTTTGGCGAGCCTTTTGCTGTGTGAAACTGGCCAGTCCCTTAGTTAGATAAGCTTTGGTTACATGCACACACTCTCCCCTACTGAGAGCACCAGTTACTCCTTAAGGTCGAGTAATTGATTAAAAATGATAGTTCGGGAAGGTGAGCATCATAGAATGCCAATTTACTAGAAGAAAATATTCTTGTGTTGAGGGAGTACTTGAGTGGAGGCCCAATGTCCTTCT